AGGAAGATAAGACAACATTGTTTTTTTTTTTGAGGGGAGGCAAAGAGCAAGTTGAAACAAGTTTTTAGCTCAGCCTCACAGTGAACTCTGAAATTCTCCTGGTTCAGCCTGCTGAGTGCTGGGTTAAAATGTATACCATCATATCTGGCTGAAAGTATTCATTTTTATATAATTTTTTTTTTTGGTACTGGGCTTGAACTTGGGCCTACACCTTGAGCCACTTTACCTGCCCTGTTTTTGTGATGAATTTTTTTTTTTTTTGCCAGTGCTGGGGTTTGAACTCAGGGCCTCATGCTTGCTAGGTAGGCACTGTACAACATGAGCCACTACACCAGCCCCTGTGATGAATTTTTTTAAGAGAGGGTCTCACAGCAATTTGCCTGGGCTGGCTTTGAACTGTGATCCTCCTGATCTGTGCCTCCTGAGTAGCTAGGATTACAGATGTGAGCCACCAGCACCCAGCTATATAAAATCTTTAAACACTGGGAATGAAGAAGGAACTCAGAGCCAACAACACAAAAACATCCCTTTACTCTGCTTTCACATACCTGGCCATAAGTAGTTATGGGGCTCTCAGTGTATGCCAGCCACTGGGTCATAAAACAAAAAAGTGGGTTGGTGGAATGGCTCAAGCGGTAGAGCATCAGTCTAGCAAGCATGAGGCCCTGAGTTCAAGCCCCAGTACTGCAAAAAAAAAAAAAAAAAAGCATAGTTACACTACTGAAGGACCTTGGCAGAGCAGGGCTGACCATCCCAGCACCTAGAACAGTACCTGCCACATGGTTGGCTGGACAAAGAAATGAGGTCCATTCCAGAATGCTGAACTACACGGAAAGGGGATCTGAGGGCACAGTCTCTGCCCAGGGAGGTTTGGGAAAGCTTTCAGATGAGAAGCAGCCAGTGTTCACCTCCTTTCTCTCCAAGGTCTGGTGGGCCTGGCCTCTGTGAACCACACTCCCCTCCTGGACTGGGAAAAGACTGCTCTGGTGGCTATGCTTCAGGGGGTGGTGTTTTTGGGTTGCAGACAGGAAGACAGGTTTCATGATGCTGACGGGGGGGTTCTAAAAGGAGATTATTACTAACCAGAGTCTTCCATTTCTGAGAAATCTTGCATTTCTGGCTGATTTTGGATTCTGGAAGAAGGTATTTATCTGTAATCACTCCTGAAGACCGTGGGTGTGTTCTGCACAAAGAAGGAGAAGCTAATGGTGGGTGGCAGAGCCTAGAGTGGAAAGAGGCCCCCTACCCTTACCAAATTCACAAGACATGACTTCTGCTCCCCTCAGAGTCAGGAAGACCAGAGGTCTTCCCAGCACTTCTTTCAGATTCCCAGAGATGCTGCCCAACAAACTCCTGGCTCTGGGCCAAATCACTTCCCTACATTCTCAGAAATCTTCTGATCCCTAGAGATTCATCAATTCCTGCAACAGCAGGATACCCTCACCATGAACTTGTTGGCCTACACTTTGATTCACTATGGTTGTAATGTTGGTTTCATGCTCACAACTCTGGCAAATTGTGAGAACATGATACCAAAAACAGATGTCATAGGAGAAGAAGCACAGGATCTGGGGTCCAGGAGCTGGCATGTGAGTCTGTATCCTCCACTTAATAGCTAATAGGATCTGGGCTTTCACCCTTGGAAAAATCACTTAATCTCTCTTAGAAACTAATCTAACCTACTGGGGTTTGAATTCAGGGCCTCATGCTTGCCAGGCAGGCTCTCTATCACTTGAGCCATGTTCCAGCCCATTAGTTTCCTCTTAAATTGAGACAATTCTTTTTTATTTTGAAGGCACTGGGATTTGAACCTGCGCGTGCCAGGCAGCCACTAACAGTAGTGGCCACATGCCCAGCCCTTAAATAGAGATAATTCTTAATCTTTTTGGTGCTGGGGTTTGAATTCAGGGCCTACACCTTGAGCCACTCCACCAGCCCTTTTTTGTGTTAGGTTTCTTGAGATAGGGTCTCACAAACTATTTGTTCTGGCTGGCTTGAACTGAGATCCTCCTGATCTCTGCCTCCTGAATAGCTAGGATTATAGGCACCGGCACCCAGCTTAATCTCTCTCTCTCTCTTTTTTTTTTTTTTTTTTTTTTAGTGGGACTGGGGTTTGAAGTCAGATGGGCACTCTACCACTTGAGCCGTTCTGTCAGCCCCAACTGGAGATGATTCTTGCTTTGCCTCTCATAATGTTGTAAGGTTTAAATAAGAGTGTCATATGCAAAATACCATGTACACTGCAATGAGATGCACAGATGTTAATTTTGACAGCAGGATGGGAAAAAGTAGATCCTCAACAGATCTCTAGCATCCAAGACTCTTGGGAGAGCCAGGCTTGTTTAAGCTAGGAAAGCATTTGAGGGTCAACAGGGCAGGTTGCATGTGGTCAGTCAGACCCAGGGGGAACAAAGGGCCAAGTAACTCCAGCAATCCATGTAGTTGGGGTATGCTGTAAGATAGACCTGTGTGTTTACTGTGCTTGGGTCTCTCAGCCAGCCCTTTTTTGTTATGTTTTTTTACCTGATATGGTCTTGCCAACTATTTGCCTGGGTTTGGTTTCAAACCCTGATCCTCCCGATCTCTGCCTCTTGAGTAGCTAGGATTACAGGCATGAGCCACTGCCATCCAACTTCATTTTCTGTTTGAAATACAGAAGCTGAAGTCATGGAACTCTTTTTTTTGTGGTACTGGGATTTGAACTCAGGGCCTTGTGTTTGCTAAGCAGGTGCTCTACCACTTGAGCCATGCTTCCAATGAGGGCTGGAACTTCAAGGGCCTTTTGTGGAGACCCCAAAACAAGAAAGGTATTTAGCCAATTTTTTTGTTTTTATCCATATATGTTGATTTCTTGGCCAATATAGCTTGCTGTCATATTTCACAGCTTTCAGTGACGGAACCTCTGAAAACAGGCAGGTTTTACCCCTAGAGCCAAGGGATGTGCAGGGGCTCTAGAATCAGCAGGCAACTTTGGTGAAGAAGCAGTTTATTGTTGGGAAAACTGATTAGCAGTCTGCAAAAACCTGAAGCTAGATCCATGTTTATCACTCAAAATGGATCAAGAACCTTAATATCAGACCCCAAACTCTAAAGTTGGTACAGGAAAGAGTAGGAAATACTTTGGAACTAATAGGTATAGGCAAAGACTTTCTCAATGGAACCCCAGCAGCTCAGCAACTAAGAGATAGCATAGATAAATGGGACTTCATAAAACTAAAAAGCTTCTGCTCAACAAAAGAAATGGTCTCTAAACTACAGAGATCACCTACAGAGTGGGAGAAAATATTTGCCAGCTACACATCAGACAAAGGACTGATAAGCAGAATATATAGGGAACTCAAAAAACTAAACTCTCCCAAAATTAATGAACCAATAAAAAAATGGGCAAGTGAGCTAAACAGAACTTTCTCAAAAGAAGAAATTCAAATGGCCAAAAAACACATGAAAATATGCTCAGCATCTCTAGCAATAAAGGAAATACAAATTAAAACCACACTAAGATTCCATCTCACCCCTGTTAGAATAGCCATCATTAGCAACACCACTAACAACAGGTGTTGGTGAGGATGTGGGGAAAAAGGAACCCTCTTACACTGCTGGTGGGAATGTAAACTAGTACAACCACTCTGGAAAAAAATTTGGAGGCTTCTTAAAAATTTAAACATAGACCTGCCATATGATCCAGCAATACCACTCTTGGGGATATACCCAAAGGAATGTGACACAGGTTACTCCAAAGACACTTGCACACCCATGTTTATTGTAACACTAGTCACAATAGCCAAGTTATGGGAACAGCCAAGATGCCCCACTATCGATGAATGGATTAAGAAAACGTGGTATTTATACACAACGGAATACTACTCAGCCATAAAGAAGAATAAAATCTTATCATTTGCAGGTAAATGGATGGAATTGGAGAACATCATCCTGAGCAAGGTTAGCCAGGCCCAGAAGACCAAAAATCGTATGTTTGCTCTCATATACAGATTTTAGATCAAGGGCATTGGACTTTGATCACATGATGATTTGAGAGCACACAAGGGAGGTATAAGGATAGGCAAGAAACCCAAAAAGAAGAAAACAAGATCGAATTTGATGTCCTCAATGCAAAGGAACTAATGCAGAAACTTTAAAGTGACAGAGGCCAATAGGAGAAGGGGACCAGGAACTAGAGAAAAGGTTAGTTTGAGAAGAATTAATTTAGAATGTAACACATAAGTATAGGAAAGCAATGCTAGTAAACTCCCTGTATAGCTATCCTTATCTCAACTAGCAAAAGCCCTTGGTCCTTCCTATTATTGCTTATACTCACTCTTCAACAAAATTAGAGATAAGGGCAAAATAGTTTCTGCCTGGTAGGAAGGGGTAGGGAGGGAGAGGGAGGGGGCGGGGGGGAAAGGGGGAGAAATGACCCAAACAGTGTATGCACATATCAATAAAAGAAAAAAAAAAAAAAGAAAAGAAGCAGTTTATCCCTGTGACTAAGGGCTCAAGTCCAGGGGTCTGACAGAGTTAGGTTCAAATCTTAACTCCACCACTTTTAAGTATGTATATCTCTAGGTTCCTAGTTCTAAATTTGTAAAATAGCTATATTATTACCTCATAGAGGTGTCGTTAGGGTTAAGTGTGGTATATAGAGCCCTTGGCGAATTAATGGTTAATACAAGTTGGTTGTGACTATTAATAATAAAGTGCGCCTGCCCTTTGGTTAGCAAGTAACCAAATTTGTCAGTGTACTGACAAATTAGCAAGGATTTTAACTGTTTCTGCCTTACTGATTCCATGGGCTGGAGCCCCAGCACAAATAACAGAGGCCAGCCCTCAGTGCAGAGGTCTGAATCAGGTGTCATCTCCCTCTCTGGAAGTTCAAACCCTCCTCAACGCCCTCAGCCCCGCCAGCACCTACCTCGACTTGGAGAACCCGTAGAAACGCGACTGAGGGTTGACCATGACCGTGGGACAGCCGGGCGGCCAGCACTCTCTGCCTGGGCAGTTACGATAGTGTACAGCCCGTTGCTCTGGCGACCAGCTCCCAGCGGCCCCCGCGGTGAGGGCCGGACCAGGGTTGTGCCACGCCCCCACTGCTGTCCCTTGAGGTCTGGGAGGAAGGTCAAGTAGTTAAAGGTGGACTCGGACCTGGGGGGAGGGTTTTCTGAGAGTCACTCATTGTAGCGGATTTGATAGTAGCTGCAGAACTGAGGCAGGGGGATAAATCGAGACCATGGAGAATGGTGGTGAGCTGAGAGGCGGGGGTCGCTTGGTCGGCGGGAATTGTAGTTTTCTTTGTCTGGGAGTCTTGGATGGATCGGCTTATGACAGAGCGGGTGTGTACTACATCTCCCGATGCTCCCTATCAGCCTATGTTGGCCCGCCTCTGGATGTCTCTGCATTGTAGGATATGTAGTCCAAAAATGTGGCGAGGCGTGGCAATGTCCAAAGAGAAGGCTGGACGCGGACTCGGTTTCCCTGCGGCCCCAGAAGGCTTGCGGGCCATTGGCTGAGCGGGCTGATCTGGTCGCGCTCCTCCCCGCCCTCAGTGACACAATAGCAGCTCCCTCGAAGATGGCGGCGGCGACGGCGGACCCGGGAGCTGGGAGCCCGCAGGCTGGGGACTCGTCCAGCGGGGGCACTGGGGGCGGGCTCCCGTCCCCTGGGGAGCAGGAGCTGAGCCGACGCCTGCAGCGCCTGTATCCGGCTGTCAACCAGCAAGAGACGCCACTGCCGCGCTCCTGGAGCCCCAAGGACAAGTACAACTACATCGGCCTCTCCCAGGGCAACCTTCGCGTCCACTACAAAGGTATCGGCCCGTCTGGCCGCGGGGGACAAGTCCAGAGCGTCTGCAGGGCGCTGTCCTGCTTGACCCCAGCCCATCACGTACCTTTCCTTGCCTGGGTGCTCCGTGTCAGGTCTTAGTCCCTGCGGAGTGTCCAGAGTGATGGCGCTAGCCAGGCCGAGGGTTGACGTCTAGCTTTGCTCTGCTCTGAGACACCCGAAGTCAAGAGAACTCCAACAGGTGTCTAAACCCAATGCTGGGCTGGATCTTCCACTTTCCGGCCTCCCTGCTTGACCTGGGCTGGCTCCAACTCTAGCTGGGCCGTTTACCACTGCTTAGTTTCAGGGGCGTTTGCAAAAAGAGATGGTAATGTTCCCCACTAAGAGGTGCATGGCGCTAGCCTGTCTGTCAGTCATCTAAAAGTGGGCTGGGATTCTGTGTTAAAGCTGTTGTTGATGGGGGTGACTTCCGTGTCTACCTCCTATCCCTGGTCTCTCAGATGTGCTACCTGGATTCTGGAGAGACTGCTGGCAACACTCAGTATCTCTTGAATGCACCCAAATTGCCTATAGGCTTGTTTTGTTGTATGGAGGACAGTGGTCAGGACTGCTAGTCTCAAGAGGAGGTGAGCCAAAGGTGGGAGGTTTATGTGTTTACTCAGTTGTCTAATTATTCCTTGGACAGTGTAAGAGCTTCCTCTGGCCAAGGAGAGATGAAGTTGACTTGGAGCAGGGAAGAATGAGGCTTCCATTTACTGCTGCTGAAATTTCTTCCTTGCCCTCTCCCATTAGGTCATGGCAAAAATCACAAAGATGCAGCCTCAGTTCGTGCCACCCACCCCATACCAGCTGCCTGTGGCATTTATTACTTCGAGGTGAAGATTGTCAGCAAAGGAAGAGATGGGTAAGCCCCTTATTACTACCTTCTTTTCCCCAACACTGAGCTGTCCCTTGCGGTCAGAGTTTGAGGTCTCCTTGCTGATACTTGTGATTGATATGAACTGCTTTGGTCTTGGACTGCCTCTGTTCCTTAACCTGCACATGGTTTGGTCTAAGCAGTGGGCCTTGGTAGCAAGTAGGCACATCATGGGTAAAACAGGGATTTTTTTTTTTAGTGAAGTAAGTAGATTCTTCACAGATCAGGGACACAAATAACAAGTTTACATTAATAATTAAAATGGCCTAAATGGGGTTTTCCCTACTAGCCTGTGGTGTTGTGATTTCCCTCCTTTCACACTCAGGGTTCCTTTTTTATGGCATTTAGTCATATAGAGGCCCTAGTAGACTTCAAAGGAATAGTAGAGTCTTTGCAACATTCATCAAAGTTCTGGTGGCCATCTTGGTAAATAGCATACACATGGTCAGAATCAAGTGACCTTGCTGCTCATAAACTTTGTTTTTCAGTCCAGGGACTTGAACACCAGTTGGACCAGCTTTAGGAAGTTCCTCATTAAAGGTAGCATTAGGGAGGCTCCCTATTTGAGGGTGATCTAAGTTGACACAGGATATCAGAGAAGACATTTTTTATTTTCTTCTTTCTTCTCCCAGTCCTATTTTTCAGTGATTGTGACAAAACAGTAAAGCAGTTTTTTTTTCTTGGTGGTTATGAGGTTTGAACTCAGGACTTTATGCTTGTTAGGCAGATGCTCTACAACTTGAGCCACTCTATCAGCTCTGTTTTGTGTTAGGTATTTTTGAGGTATGGTCTCAAGTAGCTGGATAATAGGTGTGAGCCTGAAGTGCCTGGCAAAGCAGGTGTTTTTTTTTTTTCTTCTTGTGGTATCGGGGCTTGAATTCAGGGCCTACACCTTGAGACACTCCACCAGCCTTTTTTTGTGGAAGGTTTTTTTGAGATAGGGGCTCTTGGAACTATTTGCCTGGGCTGGCTTCAAACCACGATCCTCCTTATCTCTGCCTCCTGAGTAACTAGGATTACAGGCATTAGCTACAGGTGCCTGGGAAAACAGGTATTTTAAGATATGGAATAACTATGACTGTAACTGCCTTGGAAAAAGCTTTCTTCATTAGACCTTAGAGTTGGTGTGGAAAGTTTGTCAATTCCACCAGTGACCTTCATGCTGATCTAATGTGTTTTCAAGCATTTAGAATAATTCTTTCCTAGGATTATCCCCCTTGTTGTGCATGCACAATGCCTAATTAAGGGGCTGTGCTTGGGGCCTGACTGCCAGAGTTAAAACCTTGCCTGCTTCCTCATTGGCATTGTAACTCTTCTGCGTAGGAGCTCTGTGGGCTTGGATAGATCTTGGGCTTCCATCTCTTTATCTGCACTGTGGGGGAGCTAGGCCAGCATCTAAGCCTAGAATTCAGTGATTCTGAAATTCTAACTGTGGAAAGCTGTTGCATCTTCACTTTTATCCTCATCTAGTGCATTTATACAGAAGAGTTTTTTTGTTTTTGGAGGTACTGGGGTTTGAACTCAGGTCCTCACACTTGCTAAGCAAGTGTTTATTGCATTTACAGACGGAATTTACATTTAAGTTTCAGATAGGACTTTAAAGCCTTAATATTCTCTTCCCACCATCTGTTAGAAGAACCTATATTTAATGTGGTTGAAGTAGTGTAAATGAGAATGATCTCTTAAAACAGATACCTCTAAAATTGTTATAATGTTGGCCAAGATATTGGTGCTAGAATCTCATAAGCCAAAGAAACTGAGGGACAGTACATTTCTTAAACTTGTAGGGAGGAGCCAGGTGCTGGTGGCTCACGCCTGTAATCCTAACTACTCAGGAGGCAGAGATCAAGAAGTTCTTGGTTTGAAGCCAGCCCAGGCAAATAGCTTTCGAGACCCTATCTTGAAAATACCCATCACAAAAAGGGCTGGTGGAGTGGCTTAAGGTGAAGGCCCTGAATTTAAGCAAAAAACAAACAAACAAACAAACTTGTAGGGAGGAAAACATATTTTTTCTGTAGTCCTTTTTTCAAATATGACAGCTGAGCCAGTGAGAGACAAGAACAACTTTTCACAAAGGGAGTGTTTAAACTTAGAGATCTGGAGTCCTTCGACTAACTTTTAACATTTCAGTTTTCAGTGAATCTTGCTGGAAAAGGCTTTGTGTCATGTTAGGTTGTCTGATTGTAGGTGTTGCCTATAAGTATAAAGAAAGGTGGGTATCTAAGCTTCTCCTCCTACCATTTTTACATATGGTAAATATAGATGTTGAGGTGATCTGGAAGTCTCAGTTTTATAAAAGTCCCAGGTTATGTATGTCCACAATAACCTGCTTCAATTGACTACTGTCAGATAGTGAGTGTATGAATGGCTCCTTATGGCCACTTTATGAAATCCCTAAAGTCTTTTTGATGGCTGAGATATAGCCAGATGTTGGTATAGACCATATGTAGGTTTTTGGGGTTTTTTTGGGTGGTACTGGGGTTTGACCTCAGGGCCTCATGCTTGCTAGGCAGTGTTCTACCACTTGAGCCACTCTGCCAGCCCTGTTTTTGTGTTGGGTATTTTTGAGATAGGTTCTCACGAACTATTTGCCCAGGCTGGCTTCAAACCACAATGCTTCTGATCTCTGCCTCCTGAGTAGCTAGGATTACAGGCCCATATGTGGTTTTTGAAGAAGCCAAGAGCAGTTACAGGGCAGACAGACACTGACTGACTTCTTTCCTTTTTCCCATCTATGTCAGAGGTATATTTCTGACCCTGGTTTGGTCCATGATTCAAGCATTAATTGACTCTCCTTTGTTGTCTCATTTGACCCTCACAGCCATCTCTAGAAAATGGCTGGAGCAGATGATGATTTACTTGTGTTTTGGGTGAGCTCTGAGTCCCTGAGATGTTTGGTGGCCTGCCCTGGCTGCAGGGCTTATGATGTGCAACAAAATAGCCTAACTAGTCAGTTGTCCTTGCCTGATTCTCCATTGTGGCTGCTACTGTGTTCTCTTCCTGGGTTAGAGTGAAGGAATATCCTGTTGGGTTCTTAGAGGATTGCAGTGTTACGGGACAGAGCCGATAGGTGCTAAGTGGGGCTAGCAAATTGTGGCATGCTGCGTGTTGGGCTCGATCAACTCATTTTTCCACTGAACCTGTAAACTTGTTTTTCTGTAGATGTGAGTATACCACCTTTGGAGAAGGTATTTACGAGTTCAGTTTTAGTGTCACGGTTCTCTAGAAATGTCTTTGTTCTCACAACATCTTTTGTAGAATAATATACTAAGCTACTCTGATTAGAAAGGTTTCATTTCAAGTGTTTATAGGGTATTTATTCATCCCTTTTGTGTTCCAGGCCCTGTGCCAGGTACAGGAGAACAGACGTAAAGCCAGAACAGGCTGTCTTGTCCTCAGGGAGCCTGTGGCCTACTCAGTAACTAAGAGTGGACCAAAAGCTCTTTGCAAGAGCAGCAAAGCCAGGGCTTGGTCATAAGTGATGAGTAGGAATTTCCCAGTAGGTGGACCTATGACCTATGAATCTGGTGGGTAACTAGCTTCATATCAGGGTGCTGGACTTTTGGGGCTATCCCACAGATGAGAGAGAACTATGGGGAAGGAGGGAATGTGTTTGAGCTAAGAACTTGGCACAGACTGATAGGCTTCAGCTGCATTTTGCCTAGTCACTGGAGCTGTGAACCCTGGGGAAGCTCTGGTGGGGCGAGGAGATGTCTGAGTCCTGCTGTGGTGCCAGAAGATAAGGGGCATCCAGGTTGATCTTTCTAGGAAGCCAAGTAGGCCCTAAAGCTGAGGGTCCCTGCAGGGGAGTGGCTTCATCAAGCAGAACTTATGGACCTGTGTGTGTCCTGACTCTTAGTGATGACACATGGAGGGTGTGACTGGCCCAGCTAACAGATGCTCTACTGTGACCCTCAAAATAGACTGTAATATCATCCCAGTAGTGGAGGCCTCCTGACATGTGATGGGTGGCTCTACCCGAGAACGGCAAGCCTGGACTAGAGTACTAGATGGTGTGGGGAGGGGTGAGGATGTTTTCTTCTGCAGCTAGGCCCTGAGCAGGGATCTCTGGTCACAGCTAACCAGCTTTCACATGTTCCTAAAGCTAGCTGACTTTGCCAGGCAGCAGTGCACCTATCCATCCATGCTACATTAGGATGAGCACACATTGTTTTGTCCAGTGCTTGGGCCCCAGGAACATAGACAAAGCTTGTCTAAATGGGATAGAGATATGCCTCTGTATATGACTTACAAGGAATATAGAAAGGTCAGTCCGTGGTGTGTATCCTATCCTGGGTGACCCAGGATAGGACTTTGGGGAGAGCATCACAGAAGAGGTGGTGATGTTGAAGGGAAAGCGTTAGTGTTCTAGGTGAACAAAGTGAAAAACAGATACTTCAGGCAGAAGACACATTACTTAGAGATGCAAGGGCAAAGCTTGAGCATGGTAGCACACCTGTGGTCCAGCTATTCAGGAGGCAGGAGGATCTTTTGAGCCCAAGAACTTGAGGCCAGCCTGGGAAACCTCAAGATCTTGTCTAAAAAAAAAAAGCCAGGACTTGTGGCTCTCACCTGTAATCCTAGCTACTCAGGAGGCAGAGATCAGGAGAATCGCTGTTGGAAGCCCGTCCAGCAAATAGTTCGTGAGATCCTATCTCGAAAAAACCCAGCACAAAAAAAGAGCTGGTAGAGTGGCTTAAGTTGTAGGCCCTGAGTTCAAGCCCTAGTACCTCAAAAAAAAAAAAAATTAGTATGAGGCCCTGAGTTCAATCCCTAATACACATATACACACACACATACACACACACACAAAAGATGTGGGGCAGGGCATGAGGTGGGGCAGATCGAAAATCCCTTGTGTACGTGGCCAAGGAGCCATGGACTTTGTTCTGAGGACAGAAGCAGTGTGTGGGGACTTTGGCCGGGGAAGGAGAGACTGCTGGTCTGGTTGACTAGGCCCCTCTGCCTGAGAGCCTTGTCCAGTGTGGGCCAGTGGCTTTAGGTCCTCAGCCCTGGGTAGAGTTTTCTTACAGCATGTCTTTTCACTCTCCCATATGTGAGAGATCCAGGAGGGATGCTGAAGACTTGTAGCCAGGGAGGTTTCTCAGAGGCAAAGTGACTGCTTGTGCTAGAGTTCTGTATAGTTTGGTTTTGCCTCCTCCTGTCTGAAAGCAACACATCCCATGTTTTATTCCAAGCATTTCCTTCTCCTGAATCAGAATCACCCAAAGTGATT